GACGAGTTTGCAGGAGCATTTGGGTCTGGGGTCTGCTGGCCTGCTGCGGTGTGGGGAGCATCACTGCGCCTCCGTGTGTCTGGACCAGTCTGTCTGCAGTTGCACGCGGGCAAAAGCTTTGTGTCTGGCTGTGTCCACCTGTGCGTCCGCGTATAATCGGCCGCTTGTGTGTATTTGGGGGCTGTGTTTCTTCCCGACCATCTGTATGTGCTTTTGTCCCGATGCTGCGGGGTTTCTTTGGGAGGCCCTTCGTGTACACGTCACGTCTGTGATACGGACAGAATTACATCCTCCCCCAAATCCACATGGTGAAGCCCTGAGCCCCCCAGCACCTCAGAACATGACCTTATGTGGAAATAGGGTCTTTGCGGATATAACAAGTTAAGTTGAGGTCCTTCTGGAGGCAGGGTGGGCCCCTAATCCAGCCTGACTGGTGTCCCCATAAGAAAAAGAACTTTGGACACAGACATGCACACAGGCAGGATGGCATGTGAACACTGGGTTGTGCGGCCGTGACCCAAGAAGCTTCCAGAAGCTCAGAGAGGTGCCTGGAACAAATCCTCGGGCATCTCCGGACCGAGCACCCCCTTGATCTTGGACTTCCGGCCTCCAGAACTGAGACAGTAAATTTCTGTTGTTTAAGCCACCCCGTCTGTGTGCTTAGTTACAGCAGCCCAAACAAGCTGATAGAGTGTGTGTGTGTGTGTGTGTGTGTGTGCACTCGTGCACAAGTGTGTGTATGCATCCCCAGGCAGCCAGACGCAATTGATTGCCAGCATTAGAGAACCAGGACATTGGGGGGCTGCTGTGTGTAACCTTTCTGCACCAGCAGAGGGGATGAGAGCTGTGCCCTCGAACCCAGCTCCCCAACCATCAGCAGGCCCCTCCGGGGCTCACCTGAGGCCCCTCATCCTCACCACCTCCTCCGGCACGTGTCTTCAGGAAGCCAGCCACAGGCTCTCCTTGCCTGGCCCCTCTGGGGGACACGTAAGAAGATAGGTCCTACACCGGGCCTGACCTGGGCTCAGCTTGACACTTAACTCCAGCCCCGCTCTCTCCCTTCCCTCCTAAGAAAAGCAAACCAGTTCCCAGAATCCACAAAGCACACCCTCACTTGCACCTCTCCCTTAAGAAATGTCCCTGCATTTTTCTTAAATACTCCAGCTCATTGTTCAGGTACCACCCTAGATGTTCCCTCCTCCAGGAAGCCCTCCCTGACCATCCCCTCACCCCAAGACTGGATGAGCTATGTCTGTCTCTTTTCCCATAACCCCTCGCGTCCCTCAGTATGAAACACGTCACTGTGTGTTCTGATCACCTAGCTGATGAAGAGTCCCTGTTAGATCGTATGCACTTCGCAGGCAGGTCTGTGCCCGATTCGGTCACAGGGCACAAAGCCGGTGTACGCGTTTGCTCAGGCTGCCGTAACAAAGTGCCACAGACAGGCCAGCTTGTGCAACGGGGGCGTGTTGTCTCACAGAGGCCCGAAGTCCAAGATCAAATGTCAGCTGGCTTGGTTCTCTCTGGGGGTTGCTCTCCTTGGTTCACCGATGATCCGTGAACGTCTGTGTCCCCATACTTCCAAGGACACAGGTCACATTGGATTAGGGCCCACCCTAACGACTTTGTTTTGATTCAGTCACCACTATAAACACTTTATCTCCAAATACAGTCACATTCTGAGGTCCTGCTTAGGACGTCAGCTCCTGATTTGGGAGGGGATGTAGGTTACCCCATAACAGCAGGTGTCATGAACTGCTTAACACAAACACAAGTGAAGGAATCATGAATGAATGATTTAAAGGTCTCTCTGGTCGATTCTCGCTTTGCTCCAAATACTCACACCTCTCTCTGTGTGAGGATTAAACATTCCTGCCCTGTTAACGTCACTCTTAGTTGTTCAACCTGCTTTAGCCAGCGCGGTGCACAAGGAAGTGGCTCTTCCATTCTCCAGAAGAAACTCTGAGAGCCACTGAGTGGTCCTGACATCTCTCCTTCCTTCCTGCCATGAGCCTCGTGTATCCTGAGCCTGGTATGTCTCAAACAGGGTCTTCTCCTTCCGGAAACTTCTTCAGCACAGTCGACGCTAACACATCAAGGAGTTGTTTGTAAGACACGGAGATTGGAAAGTCACTCGTTACTGCAGAACACGTGGCCTAAAGTGACTGACTTTACAGCTTGTACCGTAAAGACCCCCAGGTCTGGGGTGGGAGCCCAAGGCATCACTGGGGGTCGAAGCTCAGCCTGTGGCTGGAGGACGGTGATGCTTAGGACCTCCAAGAACAAGTTCATAACCTCAACCTCATCAACACCATTGAATTAGCCCAGGTAGCCACCTTAAGCAAATTCATGGCGTGGCTCAGGGGATGAGTCATGGGGGAGGGCAGAAAACCCCCACATGGTCCTGACCTCTGTGACTCCAATATCCCCTTTCCAGCCACATGGTTCTTCAAACACAGAAGATGCTTCCAGACTCCAGTGTCCAGATCCCGCACCTGGCCAGGTGTGCACAGGTGTCTGGGCCCTGGTTTCCTCTGCTTGAAGACAGAACTAGGAAATCTACGGTTCCCACCAGCCGCTGGAGTGATGGGTAAGAGGGTGGCTTTGCACTTCATCGCTGGACAAGTCTACACCCTCGGACAGGTGACTTCTCATCTTCCTCTAGTTCAGAGAAGTGAAGTCACTTTCCCAAAGTGTTACAGCTAATCTTCCAGGACCAAAACTGACCTGAGGATCTCCCCGGAGTCCTGGCCATGCAGCTCCACGGGCTGCCTCTGTTATTAGTGTGCAGCGGGTAACAGTCAGAAGTATTAACTATTTCCCCCCAAATCAACATATAGCCCATGGCCCTTCCCCAGCCTCCAAAGGGTTATTTCTGCAACCTTCAGGAGAGTTACAAAAAACCCAAACAGCTTTTTGGCTTTTGAGTTTCAAAAGCCTCTTTTAGTGGGGCGCCTGGGTGGCTCAGTCGGTTGAGCGTCCGGCTTCGGCTCAGGTCACGATCTCATGGTTTGTGAGTTCGAGCCCCGTGTCGGGCTCTGTGCTGACAGCTCGGAGCCTGGAACCTGCTTCTCATTCTGTGTCTCCCTCTCTCTCTGCCCCTCCTCCACTCATGCTCTGTCTCTCTCTCTCTCAAAAATAAATAATAAAACATTTAAAAAAAACTTCAAAAGCCTTTTTTAGAGATTTTGCATCTTGGCTTTTGAGCCTCAAAAATCTAAGCCCCAGGGGAGGGGAAGGAAAAAAAGAGGTTAGCGTGGAAGAGAGCCAAAGCATAAGAGACTCTTAAAAACTGAGAACAAACTGAGGGTTGATGGGGGGTGGGAGGGAGGGGAGGGTGGGTGATGGGTATTGAGGAGGGCACCTTTTGGGATGAGCACTGGCACTGGGTGTTGTATGGAAACCAATTTGACAATAAACTTCATCTATTGAAAATAAATAAATAAATAAATAAATAAAACTTAGAGATATACATATAAAAAAAAATCTAAGCCCCAAAGGATTCCTGATAAAAGTCTGGCCATAGCGGGTTCTAGGGGCTGGAGGGAGGAAGGACTGGGGAGTTGTTGCTTAAAGGAGACAGGGTTTTCATTTTGCAAGATGAAAAATTCTGGAGATTGCTTGCACAATTAATATACACCACAGTACTGGATGGTGCACGTAAAACTGGTTAGGGTGGTTAATTTTATATGATGTAAATGTTGCCACAATTTTTTTTAAGTAAGTCTAAAAATTAAAAGAAAAAAAAATCTGGCCATGTATGTGGAAGAGCATTCACCACGCTGAAGCTACTTTTCCTGCAACAAGATAGTTCGTGGCTCCCCAAGGTGGGGGAGAAGAAACAGGTCCAGAGAAGCATCCCTGTATCCTATCCGCACACCCCTGTTTAGGTGGCTTCAGGGTGATACGGGAGGAAGAAGGTTCCCTGGAGCCCTATGGAACCCAGGGTTTAGCAAGCCCTGCAGACGTTCCCCCGCACCCTGCACATGGCACCTGTTGGGTAGGGATGGCTGCACGCAGGCACTGTGAGCACCCCACCCACAGTTCCTCAGTACTGACAATATCCAACAGGTCAGCAGCTCCAGAAACACCTGTGGTCCTCCAGCCAGCAGCACACGCACCGCCTAGATACAAGCTGTTCTCGATCAATGACTGATAGACGTTGGCGAACACCCACCCCAGCTCTTTGTCCTTCAACTGCAACGCATGGCCTACGCAGACCTCCAGGGATCCCCAACAAGAGTAAGCCCCCAAAGGCCACAGTTGTCACCTGCCCATCAGGGCTCCCTGTACTGCCTCCTGCCTTTTCCCTTCTCCCTTCTCTCTCCCTTCTGGCTACTTCCTGGGATCACCTGCCGGATTAACTTTGCGCACCCAAATCCTTGTCTCAGGCACTGCTTCTGGAAAAGCCCAACCGAAGACAGTGACCATACAATCTGTCACCCAAACCAGGACCCTTTGAAGAATGAAAAGGGTCGTGATTAATAACTACACCAGGACTATTGCAGATAAACCAAGAAGTACAGTGGTTCCACTCGGCATTTCCGGACAAACGGCCAGATGTCTTGCGTGTGCCAAGAGAGACACGGAAGACGTAGAGGAAACAGAGGTGAAGCAAAAGCAAAGACATCTGTCTGCAGATGGCAGTGAGATAGGGAACCTCCATATACCAGCTGTCTGCCCAACACCCCAGTGCCAAAGGCCCTGGAATCTTGGGGGGAAACGGACTAACACGAGGTCTCCACCTCTTAGCAGAATCGGAGAGTAGTGAAGGTCCAGCACAGGCAAAAACAAAGCAGAGTTAACACTTGTTGTGATCTGGAATCTGTGAGTGTAAAATTCTTCCCTGCCTCATGGGGGCCCCATTTCCTTCGTCGGGTCTTATTTTAAGTGGCACGGTAAGATGATAAAGCTGGGAGGCAGGGATCGGGGAGAGGGCTTTCATCGGTGTCCCCGTGTCCTCTCCCACCCTTCCCTGTCATCCTGAACAACTACAGTCCTTCCTTTCAACATTTTATTAAAAGCTGTTGCCTCGAGCCCCGCCTTCTCGAGGGGCCCCAGGAGGAAATCGGTGTGTTATAAATTAACCGTGGCAGAGCATCATCCCAGGAGCCCTGCCAGCTGGACGCTGGCCCTCCACCATCCATACCGGTGCTCAGCCCGCTGGGACCTGTCACAGCCCCCTGGCCCTGCTGCCTGCTCATCCTGGGCTCAGAGCCTGGAGTTTCTCGTCTCTTGGCCAGTGCGCCAAGCTCAGCAGTATTCAGAGTAATCTTCCTCCACGTAGTTGGAGGGGAACCAGCCAACCTGGAGAGAGAGGAGGAAGTGGTTAGGACAGCCTCTGCACGTTCCCCGTTGTTCCCCAACCCACCGGGCAGGTTCCCTCTCACCTCAGGACCTTTGCACCTGCCACACCTTCTACCTCAGAAAGTACATCTCCCAGAGGTATACGTGGCTGACCCCCCTCACCCCGCCTTCCAGAGAGCTCTCTATCATATGTCACCCTATTCATAAGGTCTTCCTGACCTCATTTAAAACTGCAAACCCCACCCACCTCAACACCCCTTATCCCTATTCTTGGCCTTATTTTTCTCCATAGCACTTGTCAGCATCTTGTTCATTATATACGTTACTTATTTATTAGCTTGTTGTCTGTCTCCATACCCCCGCTACCACATGAGCTCCCCAAGGGCAGGGATTCCTGTCTGTATTATTCATTAGATTCCCAAGAGCCTAGAATAGTTCTGGCACACAAGAGATTAATAAATATTTCTTAAAAGGATGGATGGATGGATGGACAGACACATGGATGGATGGATGGATGCGTGGACGGGCGGGTGGGGACACAGATGGGTAGATGGGTGGGTGGGTGGATGGATGGATGGATGAGTAGAGAGGTAGTGGGATGGATGGATGGATGGATGGGTGGATGGATGGGTGGATGGATGGGTGGATGCATCATAGCCCACACCTTCCCATATACCCCCAAAAGGCTCTCTCAAACCCCAACTGCCCTCCACTGCATACTGAGCTTACCTTCCACAATTCTTAAAAAAAAAAAATGTTCACCTAAGCAATTACCCAGGCTGTTTTTTCATGTATGTTCCCCCCCCCCCCCCCCGGTAGAACATAAGCTCCTGACCAGTGTCCTTATCATCATTCAACAAATATTTTTGAGAAACCATTACAAGCGAGGCAGTGTTCTAGAGACTAGGAATTAATTCATGGGTTAAATAAAGCAGACTCCCCCTCTTTGTGAGACAAAAATAAGAACCAGGTAGAAACGAACTTCATTTGTTAGAGGTCCCTCCTGACAGTCCGAATTCAAGCAGGCAAAAAAGCACAAAAGGCAAGAGTGGTCAGTTCCAATTATGCCTCTTCATGCATTCAATATTTATGTGTCACACGCTGTTCCAGGCACTGGTGACCCCGCAGTTAACAAGATAGACAAAAATCCCTCCCTCTGTGTCCCCCAAACATGCCAACTACTCTCTCACCTCAGGGCCTTTGCACATGCTGGTCTCTGCCTGGAATACTTCCCACCACCCCCTCTATGATCTTCTCACCTGGCTAACTTCACTCATCCCTCAGGGAAAACCTTGGCCTCTCTGAAGTGCTTCTGACCTGCTCCCATCCTGCCCTGTGATTCCCCATCTCAACCCTGACCACTCAGCATTGTACCTGCTTGGTTACAAGTCTATTCTCTTCACTAGACTAGGAGTTTCATGAGGACAGTGCCTGAACAGCCCTCATTTTTGTCTCCTCAGCACCCAGAAGAATGCTCGACACATAGTAGGCTTTCAGGAAATAAATGCAAGTTACGTGAAGGAATGAAATCTTTATGTCCTTTCCTCCCCTCTGACCAGGGAAGACCTCCCCACCTGCTCCATTCCACAATTCCAGCACGCCTCCACTATAGCCAGGTCACCCCCATGCCCTTTCCCCAGGCTGCCAAGATTCACCCCAACTCACCCGGCCATAGATCTCCCCTCGCCACCAGCCTTGTTGACCTTTCTTGTTAAGGATCTTGATGATGTCACCCTCCTTGAGGGACAGCTCTGATCGGTCCCGGGCACAGAAGTCATAGCGTGCTTTGGCTGTACCAAAATACTTCGTGCTTCCTGCTGTGTAGGGGAGAGCAGAAGTGGGCAAAGGGCTTGGAGCAGATACCCACCCCCCATCTGGGGACAGTCTGCTTTCAGGAAGGTAACAGGAGGATGGAAAGTCCCTCAATGCTTCTTTGTGCAGAGGGTTAGATGCCCTGAGAGGACACAACTGTACTTCTGGAATCATCTTTCCAGCCCAACCAGTATCCAAATTTAGAAAATAATGCCATTTATGTATTTTTTTAATGGTTGCTCTATATCTATAATGAAAGAAACAGGAAAGCTATGGAAAAATTCATTTTACGCTGTTAATATTAATTATCCTCAAGAGGACCAAGGGTATAAAAAGAGGAATAAAAGAAAGATGAACAAGAGGTGGGGGGGGGAGCTTTTCATAGTAAACTTTTCATAGTAAAATATTAAGCAACACTGTGGAATGTAAAACTACTTTGTAGTATTTCTGCAAATGTGCTGAGATCCGTGTGTACATCAGGGCAAATCAGCAATGTGCAGACAGATACATTTATTTCACTGGGTGATGGGGATCTTCCATTAAGGATCGGAGTCCTGATGTTATGTTGCTGCTGCTTTTTCAAAAACGTTATATTTTAACAATAATTAATTAAAAAAATTTTTTGTACATTTATTTATTTTTGAGAGACAGAGTGAGACAAAGTGAGAGTGGGGGAGGGGCAGAGAGAGAGGGAGACACAGGATCGGAAGCAGGCTCCAGGCTCCGAGCTGTCAGCACAGAGCCCGCCGCGGGGCTCGAACCCACAGACCGTGAGATCATGACCTGAGCCGAAGTCGGACGCTCAACTGAGTGAGCCACCCATGCGCCCCACAATAATTAATTTTTAAATCCCTCTTTTAAAAAAAAAATTCTGGATGTATAAGAATTCAGAAACTTCAGGATGCACTGCAGCAAAATGAAATGTAGGTCAGAGTAAGGAATTTAAAAAATAAAGAAAAATACGGAAAACAAGAAATACAGACACAGGCTAAATAATTCTTGATATTGTATTTGAGAAGTCAAATGCAATCGTTAAGAAAAAGTTCCTTAAGCATATGTTGTAATTATTTTAGTTCACAGCACACTGTATCCAACATCCCAGATAATGTCAGTGAACCTATGGGTGAGAGAGGCAATTTTGCCTTTTTGTGGGAGAAGGTTACAGATACTCATTAGCGCTTGATATTGACCTCTACCTGGTGGTTTGCTGATGGCTCTCCTCTCAGGCTCCTTGAAGGGGAACTGCAGGCAGGTGTCCAGAGACTTGAAGCAGTCCTTCAGGGAATTTTGCTGGTAAAATTCCACCAGCTCCTGGAGGGACAGAGGGACGGAAGCTCTGCCAGTGGGCCAGCCCATGAGGGGCCGGGGCTGGAAGCGGTTACAGCTAACTCCTCGGGTGCAGCAGATCCCTCTTCTGACCTCCCTGGCAAGTGACTCCTGGACTGTTCCCCGTGACGGGGGGCTCATTCCCTTCCTGAGCAACCAGGACTGTTTTATGGGGAAGAGATCACATTGCCTAAAGCTGGTTCTCTTAACAGCCAACTCACTTGATAATAAATTTAACAAATAATCAACTTGCCTGATACCCAGCTCACCAAAATCAACCCCCCCCCCCGCCATGGATATCAAGAACCTTATTTTTATAATTAATTATTATAATAAGAATAATAATTCCGTTTATTGAACACCTACTACGTGCTGGTCAGTGTGCGATCACACATCATCAGAATGTCCTAATAACCGTGAAAGGAATACATTCATGATTCCCCCATTTTAAAAATGGAGAAACTGAGTCACAGAGAAGCCAAGTTCCTTGTCCAGGGTCTCATATCTGGAAAAGGGCAGATCCAGAATACAGTCCCCTGGAGGAAAGGGGCAATAGAATGTAGTGGCTAAGACAAAACAAAATGTCTCATGGTTTGGAGTTCTAGATTTCAAAAATGCCAGTATTATGAAAGACCAAAAAAAAAAAAAAAAGAAAAAAGAGAGAGAGATTTTAGAAAGACTGACAAACTATTACAAATGAAAAGAGACTAAGGAGACAAAAGCTAAATGCAATGTGTGATCCTTAATTATATCCTGGAGGAAAAACAGAGCTATAAAAGATATATATGGGGCCATCAGAGAGTTTGGAAATTGGACTGCATATTACATAAATTTTGCAGCAATGCTCAACTTCCTGGGTATAATAATGATACTGTGATGAGGTACCAGAATGTCTTGGCTCTTATGGATATTCATGCTAAAGTATTTTTTGAAGAAGGGTCTTGACACCTGCAACTTACCCTTATATACAGCAGATTAAATGTGTGTAGGGGGCGGGGAGGGATTAACAGAGGGCACAAAAGAGGTAACAATTAGTAAATGTACATGAAAGATCGTGAATGTTCCTCTCACTATTCCAGTAACTTTTTGGAAATTTTTCAGAAATAAAAAAAAAAAAAATGAGGAGCAAAATTTTCAGAAACAAGTTTGGGGGAGGCAAAAAAATTGTAGAATAAATTAACAGTCCCTAACCTTTTAGGAAGCCAAGGATCCGTTGGAGGATCGAGTGAAATCTGAGACCCTCGCCTCCAAGAAAAATACATTCAGGTATGTGCAAAATTCTGGATGTTCTACCAGAGGACCCAAAGCTCGGCAAGGATCCACAGACCGTAGGTAACATCCGTGTGTCTTAGACCCATGGGCTTAAAATGTCTAAAAGATTGCCCAAAATTACAAGGCACCAAACAGGCATTTGAATTCTCAGTGAAAAGATCATTGAACAGATGAGGTCTTGAAACAAGACCAATGCTCTTCTGTGACACAAGGTAAGGACAAAACATCGATTTCACCTGCATGTGAAATGGGATGTCCCACAGTGACTTAAGGGAACACTGGAGTTCTTTCTACAGCATGTCTGGCACTCACTAAGTGCTCAGTAAATGCTCATTGCCATTCATCATCAGCCATCAGGGGAATGAGTTGAAAGCCAGTTGTTCCACAGTGTTCTTTGAGAGGCTTCTCAGAGTGTGTGAAGGTGGGGGGGGGGGGTCCTAAGATGAAGCTTCAGGGAGGACCCTGCCTCGATGCTGGGAGACTGGGGACAGGGTAGATTGGCCCTTACCGTAAGCCCCCGGAAAGCCTTCTTCTCTGTAATCCGGTACAATCCTTCTGCTGTCATGATTTTAATGTGTTTGACCTCAACATTATACCTGGAAGCAGTGAGAGAGAGGCCCGGATGGTCACTGGGCCCTGAGGCTGGGGACCCAAGCTCATCTGTCCCCTGCCAGGTGTCAGCCCCAGTCTATACACCCCCAACCATGGAAGGCACAATCTTGACAAATTCAGGGAGGGCGAGACCACTGAATCACCTTCCCTGATTCAGAGGGTTGTTAAGAAGTCACAAAGATCTTGTAAAGAAAGACACGTTCTATATCAGAGAAGACGAGATCTATCCTTCCCCCAAGGTGAAGGACCTTCCACCAAGATGGCAGACCACAGGTCAGTAAGGGCATGGAAGAGATATTCACATCTGCCAACAAGGAAACCTAGATAACAACAACAACAACAACAAAAATCCGACTACAGAAAACTAGAAATGATGAGGAAAAAAAATGCTGAGCTCTCAAAAAAGCAGGGGACATTCCCAGTGGCCAGAAATGAGGTTGAAACGAAAAACCAAGCTTCTTGCATGAACTGCTACCCTACAGGGTTGGTTTATCTTAGTCACCAAGTATCTTATGCCTTGATGACCCCACAGAGACATGGGATGAGTTACTGGGTCCATGGAGGCGGAGTTAGCAGTGAGACCTGCCTACACCCCATAAGCCTGGACGGTCAAATGCTACATCCTCTAGAAAAACCACCCATCGCACAGACAGCCAATAAAAAAGGTCTGTCTCAGACTCAACACAGAAAAGTCACCCTTGTGAATTCAGAACCTCAGACCTGCCCTCATGCAGGTTTTGGTGTTTGAACTTAAACCACAGGTACAGCCTGGGAAGCTAAAGAATTAACCTAAAAACAAATCCACCTGTTGGTGACCCCAATGAAAACAAATGCAAAAGCTCTGGAGACCCAAGCAGCAGAAGACTGCCACCAGGAAAGCCCCACCCGAGATCACAAGACAAAATTTCAGGGGCGCCTGGGCAGCTCAGTTGGTTAAGCATCCGACTCTTGATTCTGGCTCAGGTCACGATCTCACGGTTCGTGGGATAGAGCCCTGTGTCGGGCTCTGTGCTGACAGTGCAGAGCCTGCTTGGGATTCTCTCTCTCCCTCTTGCTCAGCCCCTCCCCCACACACTCTCTCTCTCTCTCTCTCTCTCTCTGTCTCTAAATAAATAAACTTAAGGAAAAAAAAGACAAAATTACAAAACCAACCAGGAAACAAGTCACCGTGAGTGAGAAGCTCACACAACAGACAGACATGAGTGAAGGGACCCACTAGCCTTGGGTCCAGGTGGCATTTCTGCCTCTCACTAGGATGAGCTAAATGCCTTTTGGAGATTGTCTGGGAGGCATATCGTTTTCTTGTAGGTGTCAGTCAAGTAAAAGGAATAAGACGGATAAAAACACCCAGGACGCCACAGGGCTCAGTGAGAGATGGCTGTCAGGATAGTTCATTCCCTTCCTCCCAGGCTCCTTTCTGCAGCACCCAAATTACAGGGAGTCAGGGGTGGGAGGAGTTACTTAATGCTGATGGCAAATTCTGCTGAGTCCTTCACCCGCTGCCGCACCAAGAACGTCCCATCCGAGCGGTTGGTGAGGATACTTTCTGCCCCGGCGCGCTCCATGGGGCCAGCGTACCTGTCAGGATACATCAGGGAGAGAGGTCCACACGGCCCCTATGCTTGAGCCCCCACGTTGTCATACTGAGGCCACTCTTTCCCCCATCCTGTGATTTTTCAGCAGGTGACAGTCCCAGGGCGGGCTGCTCCAAAATGGGCCACTTTGGTGTCAAGACTATTTTGGGTTAAAAAGCAATCAAAACTCTTTATCTTCCCCCCCCCCCCCCCCCCGCCCAAAAAAAAAAAAAAAAGAAACTGCCCCAAACGGATTCGGACAGAGCACCTGCTGGGGGCAAAGAGCTGTCAGCACAGACACGTCCATTAGTCTACGAACGAAGTACCACAGACACAGAGGAACCTAGCAGGTCCTGTTTGATCAAATCTTCTGTGACCCACGGCTTTTGAGTGGCCCAGCAAACATGTGTACCAAAGATTTCCTCTTCTTCATCTTCCAGAGAAGTGCCTTGCTTCCCTTTCAAAGTCCCACACCGCTGCTCCCTTCTCCTTGGTTCAGAATGACGTACATGCCTCCGTTTGCCCGACTGTCTTGGGATTTCAGCGTCTGGGTGGCGTTCCCACACACACAAAATTCAATTTGACTTTTCTCCTCTCACTCTGTGTCGTGTCAGTCTGATTCTTAGTTCCCCTAGAAGGACCTTGAAGGGGACGTGAATTCTGGATCCCTGACATGCCCTTTTATAATGAACTGGTAATCTCCTAAGTAAACCATTTTCCTGCATTCTGGGAGTTTGTGTTAGCAAACTGGGGACGACGTTGTGGGAACCTCTAATTTACAGCCGGTCGGTGGGAAGTCCTGGAAGCCTGGACCGGACATTGGCAGTCTCCTGGGAACCGACCCCTAACCGGTGGGGACTGCAGTCATCTTTAGGTGGGCAGCGTCACAAACGAACTGAACTGCATGACAGCCAGCCGAGAGGGGAGAATTGTAGAACTGCGTAGATGTGGGGAAAAACCCACACGCTCGGCTGAGACTGTGAGTATAGAAAAGCAGACGTTTTCCCCTTTACTCTGGAATTTGGCATTACTGGGACGGGCATTTACCGCATCCACACTCCTTGCCTGTCTCTGTGGCCACCAGGACAGAAGCTGGATGAGAGGGCTGAGACACTAGCCTCGGAGACCAACTGCGAAGCGGGAGCCAAAATACTCCGCCAGCAAGGTAAAAGATAGCAAATGAAGGAAGGAGTATTTTAATGCAATACTTTTAAAAGTCAAAATGATTGCCAAAGCAGACAGAAAGGGAGCAAGGCTCTGACATGCACCGCTTCGTGGACGGATCCCGAACATAGGATGCTCAGAAAAGAGAGCCGTGTGTGGAATGTCCAGAAAAGGCACATCCACAGACAGGAAGGGGTCAGAGGAAGGTGCTGGGGGCTGGGGAGGCAGGGGGGTGACCACACACAGGGGCAGGGTTTCCTTTGGGGGGATGGAATGTTCTAGACTTATAGTGATGATGGCCACCCAACCTTGTGAATGTAGTAAATGCCACTGGATATAAATATATTTGTGCCATAATGTAAATATATAACATAAAGAATATATATTAATATATTATATATATAATATATATAATATATTATATAATATATCATATATATAATTATATATATGATATATCATATATA